TAATACACTTTTAAAAAAGTGTGTTAAAATGTTAGTTCCTTAAAAATACCTAAAATGATTTGTTGTTTAGCCTAATTATCTGCAAGTGTGCTCATTTTGAGTTAAACTAGCATTCAAACAAGGTACACTGGAGTAATATACGCCTGCTTATCAGGATTTTAGATTCCTGTCAACAACCTTATACATTTCTAAAAGTTACTAGTATTAAATCAAAGAGTAGCCAATAACTTTTCACAATCTGGTAAACTCCAAATAATAATTTTCCATTTGCTGTGCTAAACATTTATTTAATATTTTATACACATCAAATTTCCCGAGGTGCTTTTAATGATGATCTTAATACTACCCAACCGAATTCAAGAAAAAGCTATTACCTCCGTGAGTATCAGGAAGTTGCTGTTTCATTAAGGTTGCTTCAGCGCTCCCTGCTGGTTTTTCAAAGGTCTGCACGTGCAACACAAAAGCGTGCACTCTTTTGTGTTGCATTCGCAGACAAAAGGATATCAGCGAGGAAAAAGGAGACATCTCCATTTGGGAAGAACAGAAGAGCAATTCAGCAGATGCAACAGCATTTGTTTTATATTAAAAACAAAAAGCAAAACAGACACATTCAGTAATTGTACAACTTTAGCAGCTAATGTTATACATTGAGGTATCTAAAAAAAACTCCATTCTCATTTTCTGTTACTAAAAAGACACTTGAGATCACAGGTACATTTCGAAATGTACACACCGCAGACCAGACAATGATTTGGCAAACATATAGATTATTAATCACAAGAAACAGTGTTTGTTTTCTTAAATAGAAAAACATATTAAAGTGTACCTTTGCAACAAAGAGGAATAAAACAACAATTTGTTGTTTTAGCTACATTATATTAGAAGTTCAGGTAGGTTCAATATGTAGTGTTGAAGGTTAAGTACCATCACTGAGACCGATATAGCTTGCCTTTCTGTGAGTCCATGTGGGAAAGAAATATAATCAATATAAATAATGTGTCGTTTAAGACTGTTCAATAGGACATCTGTGGAAGGTATATGCTAAAAATAACTTGGATATATGAAAACAGACAAGGCAGAAGTTGGCACACTTAGCATTAAGACACCCCACTGCTCGTACCCATCGCTACCACTGTTCCACATTGTCTAAATAGTCCTCTAAAGTGCTATTCTCATCCAGATCCCACCAGTCTGGGAGTGGCACTTCAGACGCCACGCTGTCCTCAGCAGGCTTTTCTCTCCGCCGCTCCTCGGTTACAACAGAGCGGCTGTTGGCGGGACGCGGCGTTTCTGTGGGCTTCAGCTGCCTCCCTTGGTTTGTTCTGAGCCCACCACGGAGCCGCCTCCTCTCCTGTTGTCGCCTCTCCCTGGCCTGCCTGCGCTCCTGCTGCCTCGCCAACTGGAAACGCTGCAGGAAAAGGTCGCGGGCGTACTCGTATAGCTCTACGTCCCATCGGTTCAGCTGGCGGATTCTGCGCTGCGTCTCTGGAGGTACCTCCACGCTGGAGGCGCGTGTGCCGTTGAGCTGCGTGAAGGGCGCGATGAACTCCAAGTTGAAGGTGCGCTCGAACAGGTACTGGGTCTTACGCTGGTACTCGGTCAGTCCAAAGAAGGCCATGCCCCGCAGGTTGCGTTTGGCGCTCTCCAAAAGCACTGCCCAGCGCTCCTCCTCGCTCATGGTGGAAACGTTGTAGCAGCCAACCAGGCTGAGGTCAGCCAGCATGCGGGTCTGCCGGTTGTTGGCTAGGTTGTAGGGACAGTCCATGAACTCCTGCAGGGAGCAGCCTGACCAGTCATCTCCTGAATAGCAGCTTGGCAGCTCTGACAGCGTTGGTGAACGTCCATCACACACATGTAATGAGGCCTTCCACGTGGCGCCGCGCTGTACGTGACGCCACTCACTCAAGTAGCGTGATACAGGGTCTCTTAAGATGGTGATATAATAATAGTTCCTGCTGGAGAGAAACAGACACAATTAGATCAGTAATAAAGTTGTAACTAACAATGTTCTGATTTTTTATTTCATTTAGAGCTGAAGTATTTGATTTTACTTTCGTTCATACAGTTTTCCCTGGCTCACAGTGGGTTTGTATACAGTTTAATCAATGGGTGTGTGTTACCTTTACTCAACGGAAGTCTGTGCATTTTCCTGCTGTTTTATGGCTATTATGATCTAAAGTTGAACACTGACAGTATCAGAGTTTTCCTTCAGTGGAAGGTCTAAACCCGTTTGGTTGGTGCCAAAAAACTTTATCAAAACAAAACAAAAAAACTGCTTCATAATGTTTGGAGAAGGTGAGAGGGGTGAGCAGTAAAGAAGATGCTGATAAATGCAAGAAACCATCTTTAAACCTAAAGCGACCATTTATGACCCCGTTATATTTTACACAGGATACTTCTGTATTGTCTCTATGCGCTTCTATCATACCGGTGCTGTTTCCTTTATCAATGAGAGATATTTTAAAATGTTCTACTATAATTTAGTTGTGGTTTTTAAACTTTCTTTGAGTTTTGGCATCACAGTCTCACCAGATCTTTTTGCCATACTTGGCTGGTTTATAGGGGATGAGTTACCTCAAACTCCACCTGCCTCTAAAGCTGCTAAATGTTCATTCACACAGGTCAGTACAAGGGATATATTGATAATACATATAAGATTTGAGTAGAAATGCAAACATTAGCCACTTTTCCCTAGAAAGCAGGAAGTTTGTCCATGGCGTGCCCGTCTGTTCTGTTTGTACTTCAGGATATTTCTGAATCTAAATCTATTAGTCTTGTTTCGCTGCAAAACATTACAACACAGGGATTAGAAGTGGAAAACTAAAATAAAATCAAAGCACATAATTGACCCCTGGCAACTTTCCATTATCCCTGCCACACCAGTGAATTAGTTCCTTTAAAAACAACTCATGCATCGCTTCTCAGTCACCTTGAAGTTGAAATGCATCATGCTCAGCAAACATACTGACCCGTCTTTCTGTTTTTTACATTTCCATGTACTGCAGCACCATGCACTTTGCATACCTGGAATGTACAAGCAATCATGGCTAAACATAGAACAATTACAACAAATTGCTGTGGCATTACAAAGGTTTTCCTGCATACATAAGTAATTTTTTTAAGTGGTGTTTAATTTACTCAAACTTTAAATACACTTTTGTTGGGATTGTTGTAAAGCAAACTATGTTTTTGTGCGATAAACACTTTCCCAGAACGTTTGGACCTAACAACTCCCACACCACTTGCCACAGAAATACTGTTAAATGCCAAAATGACCAGCTTTATTGTGCAATTGTACTTATATACATTTTGACAAATATGTTATCGTTTTGACTTATTTGTTTTTCGCCAAAAAGGAAAAATAATACTAATTAATGTCATTGGATGGTCTGTTCAAAGCTAAAGTGGAGAGACTAAATGATAGAGTGGAAGAAGAAATTTATATCTAAAAACATCCTTTTCAACTTGCCAGTAAACCCACAATTTTCCCTCTACAGCAATCATTTTACCAACGAAACATAGGAAAAACCAGCCCCTTACTAACGAGGTCGTCCTCATCGTTAATATGGGCATGAATATTTGCATATTAATAATCAAGGAACTGACCTCTCAGCCCATTGTTTATTCAGTGGACTAGGTTCAGTTATTGTGTAAATGTATTGTTTATAAGGTTGGGGAAACCTGCAGTAAAGTGAGACTGAAGGAGCCACTTGGATATGTGACAAAACATTTCTCCCAATGAAAACGCTTCGTCCAGATGACAAGAATCAACCTTTTGGGACAGTGTAAAAAATATCAGCTCTGTATTTACTTGGTACCATATCGATAAGAAGCTTTGCACTGTGCCACAGCACTAGCCTTCACCATATGTTGGAAAATCTCCCCCCAAAACCCATAAACCCATTTTGAATGAGAAAACCTTGCATTAGGAGTTTTTTTTCCTCTTGGATATTGACCATTTAGGATTACTTGTATAGTAATCTCACTATTATAGTGAATAAACAACTAGACTGTGCAATTGGTGGAAAAACTGTACTATAGTGAATGAATACGTTTTTTTCCTGCATACAATCACGAGCTCTGATTTAAAAAGTGTTAAAAAGTTTTTCCAACTATTTTTAAGTGTTGTTTAATTTACTCAAGCATAAAACAATCTTTTGTTTACAAAGCTGACAGGAAAATGCGCAATTATCTTAAATAAAGCAACAGACAAGCTTAATTACGAAGTGATTACCCCATTAAGACTGGGGGGAAACCTCTGGTGAAAGGCACCAGACCCACTGAGCCCCCCTTTTTTTACCAACCTGGGCAGACTCCTCGGAGCCTCTCGGGAGTCCATGCGTGATGGGACACAGCTAGTCAGCTCAGTCCAGTCTGCGTGGAGGCCGCAGCTCCATCCGGTGGAGAAACGGGAGAAGAGCCAGGTTTCCTTTTTACCTGGACGGAAACAGGTACACTTCTTCTGACCTGCGTGACACTCGCAGGGTCTCTCTAGCTGGATATTTCTCACCAGATGTCGCCCAAAGGTCGTCCCCCCTGTCTTCTGAATGTGCAGAAACACTATGACATCGTCCCCTTTGATATTGAAGTCTACGACGCGATTTAAGTCTTCTTTGGTGAAGTTAAAACGAGGGACAAACCGGGCCATAGCGCCGTCTTCCGCAATGTACGGATCCTTCTGAAACCCGTCCGGGAGTTCGCTGTCCCCTACCCGGGTCCCAGTCGCTTTGCCGCTGTTAAACCAGGATCCCAGCCGGTGCAGCGCCTGGCACTCAGACCTGCTCGGGCACACATACTGGACCATAATTACGCCAAAGAGCATAACCATGAGCAGGACGATCAGAAGCCTGTGGTGGCTGCTGCTGCTGGATTTCTCATCCATCTTCCAGGGACGGACAGCAGACCATCACTCTGGCAGTCTGGACTCCGGTCTCAGACGGGGGAGGATCTCGGGGAGCAGCGTGTGTGTGTCCGACGGATGAAGCCAAAACAACAACAATGAGTCTGTTAGGGAGGCAGAGAGTCAGGAAATCAAAGCACGACGAGCTCAGCGTTTCCCCGGAATATAAGCGACGCCCAGCGCGGCTCTCCGTTAAAGCCGCCGTGTGGTCCTTTCGTGAGTTTCCATCGGCCCCATAAAGCCAACAGTTCCCTGAACACAGCCCACCGCGTCCGGCGCGGCCATCGATTCTTGACCTTTCTACCCAGCAGCCTCCGCGCTCAGTGTGGCAAGAACAATTACGTCATCCAGCAACGTCCCAATCAAGAGCCACGACAGGGTCTGCGCCTCTTCCTGACCATGGAAAGCATTATGAGCACTGTTCCCTCTAAGCTGCGTGACACGGTCTACGCACAAAGAATTCCAACCTGAATTCAAATTAAAATATACACATAACAAGTCATTCTGTGCTGTTTTGCAGTGTGAGTCAGTGAGTGACCGGTGACTGGCGGCTCCAGCCAATGACAAGATTCACATTTGTATATCAGTTTTCAGTTTTATTTGTCATATGCAAGTTAGCACAGGGTCAACATTGCAATGAAAT